CCCCAAAACCCCAAAACCCCAAAACCCCGATTCTAGAAGACTGACAAAAAGGAAATCGATATGTTGTGATAGATGTGTGTTTAAATTTCTTCTGACTAGTAATCTTTTATAAATCTAAAATATTAGCTTGTAATAAAATGGAAAGAAGAAAATTCAAGCCAGGTACACTTCCTAGTAATGACTACGCCTTTACTGGCAATATCTTCGTCAGCGATAACAACTACAGATATTTCTAAACTCAGCAGAAGAAGAAAGGAACTCTCTTCCTCAGTATCAATGGTTTCATCCTAAAGACTGAGCCTCTATCATAATTATCAGACGACGAGATAGGTCTCTCATCATTCTTAAGAGATGCCACTAGAATATCAAAGTTAGATGAGCTAGAGGTTAAGATAGCTGAGGTCAAAGAGCAAAACCCTCTTGATTCACTAGATTTCACAGTTGATAAGGTATACATTCTAGACTAGTCAGTAAAGCTAGACAACCAAGGTTTAGTTAATATTCACGAGAAGGAGGTGATTGGAAGTCTAAGGAAGTCACTTGACTAGAAGTACATCAACCGAGGAGAGATCATCCCACTGCTCATCAACGAGGGCCTGCTAGTTAGAGTCAGCATTAAGAAATTCGAGTCCTTGAAGGAAGGTACAGGAGAACTCAGATATGGAGTGATGATGAAGGAAACCAACATAAGTGTGAGTGTAGACCCTACCTGCAAGAACCAGATCAAGATTTAGAGCGACAAGGTCAAGGAGAAGCAGATCTTTAAGAAGAACTTCAACTTCCAAGAGCTAGGAATAGGAGGATTAGACAGGGAGTTTCAGGAGATATTTAGAAGAGCCTTCAATTCCAGAAGATACCCCCAGCATGTGATTGATAAGTATGGAATTAAACACGTAAGAGGAATGCTGCTATATGGACCTCCAGGTACTGGTAAGACACTCATAGCTAGGTAGATTGCCAAGGCGCTAGACTGTCACGAGCCTAAGATTGTACACGGCCCTGAAATCTTTGATAAATACGTCGGAGAAGCAGAAAAGAAGATCAGAGCTCTATTTGCAGATGCTGAGAAAGATATGAAAGAACTGGGAGATGAGTCAAACTTGCACATTATTATCTTCGATGAGATAGATGCTATTTGCAGACAGCGTGGCTCTACAGGAAACTCAGGCACTGGAGTCAATGAGACTGTGGTTAATCAGCTGTTGTCTAAGATGGACGGTGTAGACTCACTAAACAACATCCTGGTGATTGGGATGACTAATAGAAAGGATATGATAGATGAAGCAATGCTTAGACCTGGTAGACTAGAGATACACTTGGAGATCGGACTGGCAGATGAAAAAGGCAGAAGACAGATATTTGAGATTCACACTAGACACATGAGAGAGAACAACCTTATGCATTCTGATGTTGACCTTGACCATCTCGCTAAGATAACCAAGAATTATACTGGAGCAGAAATAGAAGCAGTCTCTAGATCAGCTACTTCATTTGCTCTCTTCAAAGACTTAGATCTGTCTGTTATTGGCCAAACTAATACTGATTAAAAGAACCCTAAAAAGCCCTCTAGTCAACCGACTAAGGGTAAGGAATAAACCAGCACATTAGGGAACTTAGAAAAGTAAGTTAAGATGGCTGACTTCTTGCAAGCTCTAGATGAGATCAAGCCAGCCTTTGGTATAGACAATACCAACCTCAGCAACAGTCTTAGAGGCGGTTTCTACTAGTACGGTGAGCGCTTCGATGAACTTTACAAGACTGGAATCAACTTCATTAATGAAATCAGGAATTCCAAGAATACACCTCTCCTCTCAGTGCTATTGGAGGGTAAGAATGGTTCTGGTAAGACAGCTCTTGCAGCTAAGTTTGCTTTGGAAAGCAGATTCCCATTTGTTAAACTCATTTCTCCTGAAAACTTCGTAGGCTATTCAGAACAAGGAAAGATAAGTGCTATAGTCAAGATATTCGATGATGCTTATAAGTCACCTCTAAGTTTGATTGTTCTTGATGATATCGAAAGACTCATTGAATTCATTCATATTGGCCCTCGTTTCTCAAATGCAATCCTTCAGACTCTTTTAGTTTTGATTAAGAAGAAGCCAAACAATGCAGACCGTAAACTGATGATCATAGGTACTACTTCTATGAGATCTATACTCTAGGAGATGGAAGTAGTTGACTGCTTCAATGTCTGTTTGAATGTGCCATCCATCAGATCCAAGTCAGAGATGGCCAGTGTGCTTTCGAACTTTAAAGCCTCAAGTCAGGAAGTCAATAAGATTACCAAAGAACTCTTTGAATTAGAGGACATAGTTGCAAGTGGAGGCATTCCTATTAAGAATATGGTACTTAGTATTGAATTAGCATTGCAAAACAGCTCTAGTGGCCAGATTGAACACCAAGCTTTCATGGAAAGTCTGAAGGCTGTGCATCATTACTGAATAAACTCAATACAAATAATTACCCTCTAAAATTATTATTATGGAAAAGTTTATTTTTATAAAACATTCTTAATTATTAACAAATTCTTGAGTAGAGGGGTTTTGGGGTTTTGGGGAGATCGGAAGAGCACACGT